GAAGTAGCTTGAAAAGTATTGGTATTAGTTCCTCTTTAAAGGTTTTGTAAAACTCTGCTGTATACCCATCCGGTCCTGGGCTTTTCTTAGTTGGTAGTCTTTTGATGGTTTCTTCTATTTCCTCAATTGATATTGGTCTGTTTAGGTTGTCTATATCCTCCTGACTCAATCTGGGCAGATCATATGACTTAAGAAATTTATCGATGCCTTCACTATCTTCTAATTTATTGGAGTATAAGGATTCAAAATAATTTCTGATTATCTTCTGTATTTCTGAAGTGTCTGTTGTGACATTGCCTTTTTCATCCCGTATGCTAGTAATTTGAGTTCTCTCTCTTCTTCTCTTCGTTAGCATGGCTAAGGGTCTGTCGATTTTATTTATTTTTTCAAAGAACCAACTTTTAGTTTTGTCAATTTTTTCAATTGTTTCTTTTGTTTCGATTTCATTAATTTCAGCTCTGATTTTAATTATTTCTTGCCTTCTACTTCTTTTGCTGTTGTTTTGCTCTTCTTTTTCTAGGATTTTGAGATGAAGTATGAGATCATTTATTTGTTGGTTTTTCCTTTTTTTAAGGAATGAACTCCAAGCAATGAATTTTCCTCTTAGAACTGCTTTCAATGTGTCCCATAGATTCCGATATGTTGTGTCTGTGTTTTCATTTATCTCTAAGAATTTTTTAATTTCCTCCTTGATGTCTTCTATAACCCATTGATCATTCAGTAACCTATTGTTCATTCTCCAAGTGATGCATGATTTTTCCTTCCTTCTTTTATCGTTGATTTTCAGTTTCATTCCATTATGATCAGATAAGATGCATGGTATTATCTTTACTCCTTTATATTGTCTATAGTTGCCCTGTGACATAATATATGATCAATTTTTGAGAAGGATCCATGTGCTGCTGAGAAAAAAGTGTAACTGCTTGATGTTGGGTGGTATATTCTATATATGTCAATTAAGTCTAGGTTATTAATTGTGTTATTGAGTTCTATAGTTTCCTTATTCAACTTTTGTTTGGAAGATCTGTCCAGTGGCGAGAGAGGTGTGTTGAATCTCCCATGATTATTGTATGGTGGTCTATTAGACTCTTGAACTTGAGAAGAGTTTGTTTGATGAACATAGCTGCACCATTGTTTGGGGCATATATATTTATGATTGTTATGTCTTATTGGTGTATGGTTCCCTTGAGCAGTATGTAGTGTCCCTCTTTATCCCTTTTCATTAACTTTGGCTTGAAATCTATTTTATTTGATATGAGTATGGATACTCCTGCTTGTTTCCGAAGTCCATATGAGTGATATGATTTTTCCCAACCTTTCACCTTCAGCCTATGTATGTCTTTTCCTTTCAAATGCGTCTCCTGTAGGCAGCATATTGTTGGGTCTTGTTTTGTGATCCATTCTGCTATCATGTGTCTCTTAATTGGTGAGTTTAAGCCATTAAAATTTAGGGTTATTATTGAGATATGGGTTGTTCTTCCAGCCATATTTGTTTATTTCTGTTACTAAACATGGTTTGTTTTCCTCTTTGATTATTTTTCCCCCCTTTACTGTCCTACCTCCCACTGTTGGTTTTCATTGTTATTTTCCATTTCCTCTTCCTGTAATGTTTTGCCGAGGATGTTTTGAAGAGATGGTTTTCTAGCTGCAAATTCTTTTAACTTTTGTTTGTCGTGGAAGGTTTTAATTTCATCTTCCATCCTGAAGCTTAATTTCGCTGGATACACAATTCTTGGTTGGAACCCATTTTCTTTCAGTGTTTGAAATATGTTATTCCAGGATCTTCTAGCTTTCAGAGTCTGTGTTGACAGATCAGCTGTTATCCTGATTGGCTTACCCCTAAATGTAATCTGCTTCCTTTCTCTTGTAGCTTTTAAAATTCTCTCCTTATTCTGTATGTTGGGCATCTTCATTATAATGTGTCTAGGTGTGGATCTCTTATGATTTTGCACATTCGGCGTCCTGTAGGCTTCTAGGATTTGGGATTCTGTCTCATTCTTCAAGTCTGGGAAGTTTTCTCGTATTATTTCATTGAATAGATTGCTCATTCCTTTGGTTTGGAGCTCTATACCTTCCTGTATCCCAATGACTCTTAAGTTTGGTCTCTTTATGTTATCCCATATTTCTTGGATGTTCTGCTCATGGTTTCTTAACAGTCTTGCTGAGCTGTCTATGTTCTTTTCAAGTTGAAATACTTTGTCTTCATTGTCTGATGTTCTATCTTCTAAGTGTTCTACTCTGCTGGTAGTATTCTTGATTGAGTTTTTAAGTTGGTTTATTGCTTCCTGCATTTCTAGGATTTCTGCTTGTTTGTTTTTTATAACCTCTATCTCCCTGTATAGTTGATCTTTTGCTGCCTGGATTTGTTTGTGTAATTCATTGTCGAAGTGATCTTTCATTGTCTGATTTTGCTGTCTAATGTCTTCCTTGATACTCCAGATCATCTGAAGCATGTATATCCTGAATTCTTTATCTGACATTCCATCTGCTGCAGCTGTTACCTCTTGTAAAGTTGAGTTGACCTGCATTGCTTGTGGTCCTTTCTTTCCTTGTCTTTTCATATTGCTTGTGTTTCTTTCTGTTTGGTGAAACTGTTGTATTTTTGAAAAATTTTTCCCCCTATATATTTATATTGCTCTTATATAGTTGAAAAGTCTCCCTTGAAGGGTCGGGCGGCGGTCTGCCTACCTTGCAGGTGCGGGTGGCGGCTCTGCTCTGCCCCTCCTCCAATTGGTGTGACGTGTCTACCACGCCCGCTGACCCCTGGGCCTGTTCTGCCGGTCGGTCGCAGGTCTGCCTACCTTGCAGGCGCGGGCGGCGGCTCTGCTCTGCCCCTACTCCAATTGGGGTGACGTGACTACCGCGCCGGCGGGCTGCTGGTCCTGTTCCGGGCACGGGTGGCGGCTCTGCTCTGCCCCTCTGGCTTGATGATAAAGTGAGAGAGACTCGGGTGTTTGTGACTCACTTTCTTTACCAGGAGACCAACTGTTTCTGTCGCCACTGGTATCGATGAAGTTCTCTCCTCCGCCGCTTTCTGATGACATCAGATCTCTGCCATGTTGGTATCCCATACGAATGGCAGCATTTCGTTCCCTTTGCCGGGTGACCAAAGCAACGGGTGATTCCTGACCGGCCCTCACAAGCCCCGTCTCAGTCCTGTTGCCCAGCCTATGAAGGCTCGGTTGGTATTTACCTCCACAGTATTCAGCAGGACCCGGACCGAGAAGCAGTTTCCGCGGCTTCTTTATCCCTGGGCCAGAGCAGTTCCGGGAGCCGGAATTCGGCCGCTCCGTGCTCGGTATATGTTCTGATAGGAGCAGGCTCCAAGAAGCAGTTTCCGCGGGTTATGTAGCACTGAGCCTGAGTAATTTGTCTGCGAGCCACAGGCGAATGGCAGCCTGAAATTACCTGTTCTATGGCTGAATGAGCTGCGATCAGTGGAAAACAGGGACGGTGACGTTAGCTCTCCAAGATGGTGGCCGCTGGCTTCCTCTGTGGTCTGACCGGTGTGGAGAACTGAATTGGACTGCTTCCTTCCCCCGTCTCAAACCCAGAATTCAGCACTTAGTTCGGTGATTGCACAGCTGGCAGAAGCCCGCGGAAACTGCAGCGCTGTATCTTTGCATTGCTATCTCCTCGTTTCCCAGTGCGCGCTGCAGACTCTAGCCGCGGGGCGATTTGCTGAATAAGCAGCGTGACCCTCCGTGCGAACAAATCTCTCACGTTTGAGCCCCCGTAGCTGATCCTCGTGCGATGGAAATCCTTTCTCTAGGTTTTGGAGCACCCGAATTTTGCTGGAAATTCCTTACAAGATAGCTTTTAGCCTTTCTAACTCGTCATTCTCCCACACAGTGACGCGGTACACGGGGGTAATGCACTCCCTTCGCCGCCATCTTCTCAGGATTGACAGTCTTTGCCTTTCTCTAGGATATGTTTTAAGATAGCCTTGCTTCTCTATGCCAAACTAGATTCTAATGGTTTATGAAAGAGAGTCCACAGAAAGACTATATAAATTACATATTTTTAATATTTAAAGTAGAGAATATTAAGTACTGTTGACTAATGAGTCTGACATACAGTTTTATCTTCTTATTTGTTTACTGGGAATTCCTTGGAATGTTTCCACATCACAGTGTTTCCTTTTGGGCAGGACTGAGAAAATATGGTAAACTATAAGCACTTTCCTTGGTTACATACAAAATTAAGGTGGCATGATTATACTTACTTTCATTTCTGATCCCACTATCTGCTTTCAACAATTTTAATCATTGTAAATGTTGAATCAAGATGGCTTTTGGAATCTAAGTGTCCCTTTGTGTAAGCAAGGCATGAATTTATGTCTGTTTTATTTATTGCTATAATTCTGAGTGCCTAAAACATTTCTTAGACCTGGGATCAATAAATATCTGCTAAATGTTGAAATTCTGACAAGTACAAACATTTTAGTCACTGCTGCTTGTTTATACATTGAAAGGAATGATAACCTGGCTGATGTCTGAACGTTGAGAATGTCTTTTAATTATTTTTGTACTTCATAAAGGTAGGAAGTAAAGTATTATGGCAATAAATTATACAGTTAGATAAATGAATTATTGATAATTATGATAATATTCTTTAAAAAATTTAGTTGGTAAAAAATTGATAGTATTACTTAATTTTTGGTAATGAAAGTTTTTCCCCCTCCTCCAGGGAATATTCTTTGGTTTAGTTAACTACTTAATGTTTCTAAAATTGGGATTAAAATAAGTTAATAAAATTGTAGATTCTATCTTATATGTAAGGGTATGTGGAGTATACCTGCAATGAAAAGAAGTTTGGTATGATTCTAGAAATATAAACCATAATATACTTGATTTCTGAATATTTTGGATATGATATTTATTTTAATTAGTTTATTACAGTTTTATAAAGTTCAATTACCAGTGCATTTGATCTGATCTCATGGAGTATGTCTTCTATGTCTTTGGCTAGCTTTCTTTTATTTTATTAATATTAGATGTAAAAGTTATGAGATCGGTTATGGTGAGGAGTAATTTCTGATTCTCATTCCCCTAGCCTCTCAATCTTTCTCTCTCTCTTTTTAAATTTTTTCTCCAATCCTTGGGATTGGATCAAGAGGTGCTCTTAACACTGAGCTACATCCTCAGTGCTTTTGATTTTTTAGTTTGAGACAGGATCTTGCTAAATTGCCCAGGCTGGCCTTCAACTTGGAATCCTCCTACCTCAGGCTCCCCTGTAACTGGAATTACAGGTGTCCACCACTGTACCTGGCCTCAGTCTTCTATTTGGATGGATATTTTTGGTGTCCAGTTTCTTGAGTATCTTTTTAGAAGTATTCTATCTACATAATCACAACTATGCTACTATACAGGTTTATTTTAAAAAACACACATGGATAGTATCATGAAACATACTATTCTGCATTATTTTGCTTTGCTTCTTTAAATGCATTTTTAGATAACATCACATGTCTGCACCTACCTTGAAGAAAAGTCTTTTTTATTTAATTAGTTCTACTATTAATGGGCATTTGATGTTCAACATCTTAGTATACTAACAATAGAACAATTATGTTATGAGTATCCTTATATATACATTATTGTTTGCAACCATAGTTCTAGGTTAAATTCCTGGAAATGGAATTGTTAGATCACAAACTGTTTTTTCAAAAGCTGTTGTATTAACTTTTGTGTAAAACTTTGCCCATTTTTTAAATCATATTTTTGTTCTTACTGATTTCTATTGAGTTGTGGTCCCAATGATAGATACTTTTTAGATGTCATGGACATAACTTTTGTCTTTTTTTGGTTGTTGCCATTACTTTTTACAGTTTGCCGTTTGTCTTATCACTTGGCTTTTTAACCATGTAGAATTAAATATTTTTGGTTTTATTTTTTAGTAATTTGTCAGTTTTAGTGTGTATGTGGGGGAGCTGGCTTTTGACTCATACTAACAAAGCCCTTTATTGTGCTAAGATTAGAGAGAACAATTCTATTTTTTTAGTGCTTTTATTGTATATAAATTTTATTTCCTCCCCAATTGATTTTATTATAAAGAATGGGGAGAAATTCCTTCTTGTCCCCATGCACTCAGTTATTAAAAAATATTTACCAAATAATCAATCTCTACCCCTGTGATACTGGATCACCTTTTCTAAATTTCCATATGAACTATTTGACTGTATTATCTATGTATTCATGTACCAAATACCATATTGTTTTAATTCCTAGAACTCTGTAATCATTTAAATTTGTTCATTACCCTTTTTAAAACCTTTACTGCCTATATTCTTACTTAAACATGTTTTGTTAAATCTATTTAACCTCAATTTAAGAAATTCTTTATTGTAGCTACGGATAAATGGCGAAAAATTAGAAGAACTCTTATCTGAAAGAGCTGTACAATTTCGGGCCATCCAACGCCGGCTATTAACAAGGTTCAAAGATAAAACACCCGCCCCCCTTCAACACCTGGATGTCTTGCTAGATGGAACCTACAAGCAGGTCAGTATGTCAGTGATAGTTTTCTGTCACTGGATATAATTTTTTTTCCTTACCCTAAAGTCATGTATGAGAATACCAAGATGAGGTTTTTCTTTCCTGTTTATTATGATTACGATTATTATTAGATAATTCTTGGTACATTCTATAACTGTCACCATAATCCTCTATCTTTCCAAGAAACTGATTTATACTTCTAGTTATGTCAGTTGATATTTTAAAATGGAATTTGTAAGCAGCTTCATTCAAAGAGTTCTAGTTCAAATGGATTTTGTTTCTCTTCTTTCTTTTTTCCTCTTCCTTGTGTCTTTCTGTAGTTTTATTATTTGTTCAGCTAGTGTGAAAAGGCTCTCACTCTTAAGGTAGTATATCTCCAAAACTGCTTCAAAATTATCATCCCTGACATAGAATAATAATTTTTAAAATTTTAATTTTATGAGTAATGTTCCTATCAGTTCCACTATAATGAACCCTTTTCTTGATTAGATTCTGACCACATTGTGTCTTTCATATTTTTACATAATATCACTGTCTTGTTTTAAAAATCATTGTTGGTGGTAGAATATTCTGATTTATTTTGCAGTACTGAGTATTGAACCTAGGGCCTTATGCATGTTAGGCAAGTGCTCTACCACTGAGTTACATCCCCTGCTCTTTAAAATAGTTTTTTAAAATTTTGAGACAGGGTCTTGTCTGGGCTGGCTTCCAACTTGGAATATCCTGCGTCAGATTCCCAAGTATTTGGGATTACAGGTGTATGTCAACATGCCTGGCTGAATATTATTATTATTATTATTATTATTATTATTATTATTATTATTATTTTTAACCTGTCCAAGATTTTATTAGTAGAACCATAGTGGCCAGTTGCAGAAGAGAAGGGGGGGAGAGAGAGGGGGAGAGAGAGAGAGAGAGAGAGAGAGAGAGAGAGAGAGGAGAGAGGGGAAGAGATGGGGAGAGTAAGAGAGGTAAAATAAGAGAGAAAGGGAGAGTAAGAGAGTAAGAGAGGAGAGAGAGAGAGAGAGAGGGTGAGAGGAGGAGAGAGTAAAAAAGCGAGCACAAACAGGGTGTTGATATTCATGGGCTTAACACAGGATGAGGAGGAGCAAGGCTAGTGGGCTGCTACTTCTTCATTGGCGGAGAATTCGTGCCACTTCAGGGATTGGAGGTGCACCATTCAAAGTTCGCGCCATTCACAGGGATTGGAGGTGACGGTTCGCACACCTGAATATTATTTTTTAAATTGAGATTTTTATGCAGTAGAAATGTCCTGTGCCATTCTAACAAATAATATAGAAATATTCCATGTATACTTTCCCCACTTTTCTTCAATGGTAGTGTTTTGCAAAACTGTACAATGAGCAGGATATTAACATTGATAAAACTCACAGCTCTTATTCAGATTTAACTTGTACTCATTTGTCTAAATGTGTGTATTCTACACAATTTTATCACATGTTTAGGTTTGTGTATCCACCACCATATGCCAGATACTGAATAGCTTCTTCATCACATCTCCTTCATGCTACCCTTTATTACCACATTTCTGCTCTACTCTCTCCCCCTACTTCAATCTGTTGATTTTGTAAGGACAGATAGTTTTTTCAAAGTTTTTTTTTTTCTACAGGAAGGGAAACAGCTTGTGTATTATATTGATAATCCATTTGCTTCTTGAAAATTTCATGATTATTTGAAAATTAGTACTTTGAGAGAAAGTCTGTAGAGTAGTGGGATACTGGGAAAAACATTGGGCTTGGGCTTGGAAGTCAAAGACCTTTATTCCATTACTTATTATCTGCAAGGCTTTTGGTAATTCCCTTACCCTCTCAGAACTTAAGTTTCTTTCTGTAAAATGGGATCAATACTGTGGTGTTGCAGAGACTATTCCGTAATGTATATGGATATGCTTTGTATATTGTTCTACAAATCCAGACTGCCAGTTTCTTTTATCGTGGAGTAATTATATGAGCCCCCTAGTTCTGTAGGCACTGATGCCCTTTCTGACAACCCTTTTCTCTCCTTATTGAATTTTTTTTGTCTTGGTTTGTATTCATTTCCTTCCTTCTTCACATTTCTTTGATCACTTGTCTATTTCATTCTTAAGCATGTTGTCATAATTTCCAGACTTGGAGCTGAAGAAATGCTCAGCCTTGTCTTTAATGATGCTCTCTCTTTTATTAGATACAATGGTAGAGGGATGTTTAAAGGGTCATTGAGGCAGCTTAATTTAATGCTTTACAATTTCTCTATAAGTTTTTCTTTTCTAAAGGAAGCAAGACTTTTTTTTTCTGTCTCTGTCTCTGTCTATCTCTCTGTCTTATTTTTTTCCCTTTTTCTTTTTGGCATGGGAAATTGAACACAGTGACACTTTACCACTGAGCTGTGTCCTCAACTTTTTAATTTATTTTATTTTATTTTGAGACAGGGCCTTGCTAAGTTTCTAAGGCTGGCCTTGAACTTGGGATATTCCTGTCTTTGCTTCCCATGTAGCTAGAGTTTTAGGAGTGCTTTGCCATCCCTGTCTCCTTCCTCTATTATACATTTTAAATGTGAAATTTTAATTTTTTCTACTTAGTGTTAGGTTTAGGAGTTTGTATGATTTGTAATATTAGAGACAAGAATAGTCAAAACTCTGGATTTTCATTTGAGTGCATATTTTTAAGTTTGCATCCTTTTTAGTTAACAAAAGATTAAATAAGATTTTGAATGAAAAATATGAATACTATGGGGAATGTTACTTAAATTTACTTTGCCATTCATTTTATAATTATATGTTGAAGTTACATTATAGTGAGCTGTTGATTGTTCAGTTAGTTTCATTTTTTTTAAGTATTTTTGTTTTTTAGTTGTAGATGGATACTTTTATTTTATTTATTTATTTTATAAATATGGTGCTGAGGATTAAACCCAGTGCCTCATATGTACCAAGCTAGCCCTCTACCACTGAGTCACAACCCCAGCCCTCAGGTAGTTTCTTGATCATAATAGTCATTTAACCTATCTTTAATTTTTAATGACATGATAAACATGAATATAATTTTCCCACAAAAATTACAATATTATACATAATGCTTAATTCCCTTCTTGTTCTCTTTTGTATCTGCCCAGAAATGTTATCATTATTTTTTGTCTTTCTAGATATTTTCTTTTTTATATATATGTAGAAATGAAATATTGTTTTGTGAGGCTAAAGAACAACCTATGAAGAGTATGATATCACATATATTAGTGTAACTGAACTCCTCTTATTTTTTCTTATAATAGTGTGTTCTGGAGTTCTTCTATATTAATCCATAGACCAACTTCTCTATTTGTAGTAGCTACATGGTATTCTGTGGTACGGACATTCTGCATTATGCATAAACCATAGTTTATGAAAGGAAACATTTTATTAGTATTTTAATGTTGAATCTAACACAAAGGAAAAATTCCTTTTAGACAACTCTATTGTGACCAGGCAGGCATATCACATACCTTCAGTTTGCTGTTATCTTATCTTCATACCTTGCTTGGGTAGGGAGCATGGTTTGCTTGGTGGATTAGCCATGGCAATGAAATAATAAGCTCTGGTAGAGCCCCATTTTACTCTCCCTAGCATAACTCTATTACATGAATTACTAGATTTTAAAAGTATTTTATTGATAAATTTGAAACTAGATCTGCCACCTTCTTGGAGTCCTTTTCTTCTTAGGAAAGAGAACTTTCAATTTTTCTCTCAGTCCTTTTTTTTGATCTTAGTGCCACTCAGAAGCAATCAGCCGTGCAATGATAGATTTAATTCTGTTCGTCTTGTCACCAGTATCTGGAAGATGGTATATTGTCAGCGTTTAAGGAAGCAATGGTCATTTGCTTATGTGAAAAATATAAGCAGAGACAATTATTTTTCTAAAACTAGAGTGTAAGCTCTCCAAGGAGAAGGGATTATTTTGTCTTATTCATCACTCTATTCTTAGTATAATACATGTCTTGGCACAAAATAGGTGTTTAATAAATATTCATTCTGTGAATGAATGCTCTGTCGTCACTAATGAAGATAATTTTCTGGAAACTCTGTGTCTTTGATGATAAAGGCACCACTACAAAGAACAAAGTTGCAGAGAATTCTTTGAGTACAGGCTCATGCATCATTAGGGTGATTTTTTTCTAAAATACTTAAAAGCTGCTAAGAAATGGAAACTCTTTTCTCTCTTCCCAAATAACATAATTGGGGGAATCAGGCAAACTGACAAAGCCAGGAAAGGTTTATAGCTGCAAATTCTTGGCTGAGAAAATCTTTTTTTTTTTTCTTTTTTCTTCCTTTTTTTTTTTTTTTTAATGAGAGTGTGTGTACTGCAGTGAAATGTGAAATGATCATAAGTGGCATAAGAATTAATTGGGGTTTTCCAGTATAAATATATTATAAAAATATATGTCCAGAAGCATGAAAATGTCTGATTCTCTCTATTTCCTGTTCATAGAATTGATGAACTCTTCCTCATAGAAAGGCAAACTTTTTTTCCTAAAACATACCCTTTGAGCAAGCAGGATACAAAAATGTAGAATTAAAAGGCAATTTGGGCATTTCATGGTTTCTATATAGGCCAGGAACTGCTATGAATTTAAATAAAGTCATTCTGAAAATCAGAAAATGTAGCTTAAACTCTTAATAAACAAATGATTAAGCATTGCCAAGTTGGCTGTAATTTGAGGTAGTTTATATGGAATATTCATTCATATAATAGTTAGTAGGAGTAGACTACTAGGGTTGAAGTTTGGCTTACTGTCTCTATATTCAATAATAGTAGCTACTATTACTCTTAGGTTACAGGAAGTTCCATTGACAAGGTACAGAAGTAGGCAAATTCAGAGCAGACAGTATGGGAAATATATCTTTGATGTTTAGATATAAGTGGGCTTCCAATCCTTGGATGACCTTGGGTTTAGATGCCTTTAATTATGGTACAGCAAGAGCCAATGAGTGAAAGCCATTGCTTTGCTTCTAAGGGTGCAGTAAAAATCCAACA